CGGGGGTCCCGCCCCGGCCCGACTCGCTTCTCTTTGAGCCACGCCTCGTGCTCGGAGGGGATGACCTTCTGGGCGAAGGTCCACTTCCCGTCGAGCCTGAGAAGAGCGACGTCACCCTTGATGACGGAGGCCTCCTGGTCCCGCATTGCTCCGACGGGCACCTCCTCCCCGAAGGCCGGGGACGCAGGGTCGGCGACTCGCCAGGCCGCCTCCTGGGCGGGCGCGGCGCCACCACCCTGAGCTTGCACCGCCGACAGGTCAAAGCCAGCGATCTCCGCCAACTCGAGGGCCTCGGCCCGAGCCCGCGCCAGCTCTGCGTCCGAGGCGTTCGGGTCGAACAGGAAGGCCTCCGGCAGGTAGTCCCGCTCCACTGGCATCCCCCGTCGCAGCACCCTGATGTGATGTCGCGACAGGTCGGCCAGCTGGATACTCCATGTCGGGGTCGCGACCACCCAACGTCCGTCTCCACCCTTGATGAGAAGTATTCGGTGATGCCAGCGCAGGCCGTTGGCGTCATCGTCAAAATTGATGAGCACCTGTTTTTCTGGTATATCCAGGGCTCGGTGTGCGGCGGCCGCAGCGGCCGCCATGGCTAGCGCTCAAGAGCTGCGAGGGTGGCCGGCGTGAACGGCCCGAAGGTCCGTCTCCCGCCTGCCGAGGTGGTCTCCGAGGTGCCCTCTGTCGCCCGTTTGCACCGTGAGATGCTGCTGCCCACGAGGAAGCCCACGAACCCGACGGTCGGGATGAGGGCGATCAGCACGAGGATGAGCGTCCAAGGAAAGGGCACGCACGACACGTCGTCACACACTGGGCACCTGGTGCCGGTCGCCTGTCGCACCTGCTCGTACGATAATTCACGAATCACCTCCAAATGACTGCTACACTCTGAGCTGGGGCAAGTGACCGTGACTTCTGGACACTGGCACGTGCAGATGGTCGGCTCTGGCCGACTCCAGTAACTGAAGAGATCTCGGGCAATCACCCAGGCGAAGTGTGCCTTCTCTGAACTGCTCATACGGCGGCGCGAGCCGCAAATTAAGACTTGAGCCAAAGCGCCCACGACGGTGAAGGGCGCTTGGCAAACATTCAACACTCACGGGAGGCCGATGAGCGACAGCACTACAGACGTTGAGAACAGTGTAATATATACATATGTTTATACATGCACACATATATATATATATATATATATATATATATATATATATATATATGTCGGCGGTGCCCAGCGCGGAGCGAACCCCCCACCCGGAATCGCTCGTCCTGGGGTTTCGTGCTGGCCGCACCGCCGGTGCAAGCCGGTACGAAACCCCCAGGGATGCACGAACCCCCCCGGGGCCGGTGCGCCCCGGTACGAACCCCCCCCGGAACGTCCCGCTGGTGCGTCCAGGTACGAAACCCCCCAGGATGGCCAGAGCGCGGGGCAGCGCCAGGGCAGCGCGTGCGAGCGTCCAGCGGCGGCGTCGGCGGCGGCGTCGGCGACGGCGGCGTCGGCGACGGCGACGACGACATCCAAAAATCCCCTGGGGCCCCCGCAGCCCCAGAAGCTTTCCGGAAGTAGGGGGCTAGACGTTCTCGGAGCTTCCCAGAAGTAGGGGGCCGGCTTTCCGCAATCCCCGGGAGGTCTCCCTGGGGCTCCCCACCCCTCCTCCAACTCCTCCCTACTCCGTCGCACTCCTCGGCAATCCTCACCGCTCCTCCCGACTCTTCCCCACTTCATCGCAGTCTTCGGCCCTCCTCGGCACTCTTCCCGCCTCCTCCCCACTCCATCGCAATCCTCAGCACTCTCCCCGACTCCTCCAAGCTCCTTCCCACTCCATCGCACTCCGCGGCTCTCCTCCCAGTTGCCCCAGACTCCTCCCCACTCCATCGCCCTCCTCGGCACTCTTCCCGACTCATCGCCACTCCATCGCACTCCTCACCCCGACAACGACGCTGACGACGATGACGACGACGACGACGGCGACGATTACGAACACGACAAGGGCGAGGACGAGGCCGACGACGACATCGAGAGACCTCCGCAGGCCCCCAGAATCCCTGGAGGTTTCCTGGGACTCCACCCCCCTTCTCCGACTCTCCCCCACTCCGTCGCACTCCTCGGCACTCTTCACCACTCCTCCCGACTCCTCCCCGCTCATCGCACTCTTCGGCCCTCCTCGGCACTCATCCCGACTCCTCCCCACTCCATCGCTCTACTGAGCACTCCTCCCGGCCCCTCCCGACTCGTCCCCACTTCATCGCACTCCGCGGCTACCCCAAACCCTTCTGAACTCCCCCCCCCGCGACCGCGACGGCGACGACGACGCCGACGGCGACGACGACGGGGACGACGACGACGACGACCACCACGACGACGACGCGCCCGATGGCATCAACATGAGGGGGGGGCCAGACCCTGGACCATCTATCTCATATACGTTCGTCGATCCGTCCATCCATCCGTGCTTCCATTCATCCATCTAGTCCTCCCTCCCACCCCACGCCCACGCCCACGCCCCAAAAACCCATCCCCCTCGCTCCCACGCAGCCCCCCCCGCCCCCACAGGAGCCCCCCCCACTCCCACAGGAGCCCCCCACCCCACTACCACAGGGGGAGGGGGGGGTGCGCCGGTGTGCCCAGTACAAAACCTCCCGGGAAAGAGGGAGAGGGGGGGTTCCAGGTCGTCGGCGGCACCCGGTGCGCCCTGTACGACCCCCCCTGGGAAAGCGGGGGGGGGGGGTTCGTGCCACGGGGCACCGCCGACATATATATATATATATATATATACACATATGTCTGCCTCTCTGTCTCTCTGTCTCTGTCTCTCTCTCTCTCTCTCTTTCTCTCTCTCTCTTTCTCTCTCTCTCTCTCTCTCTTTCTCTCCCCAAGAGCTCTGTCCTCAATCAACAGGCGGTGAAGAAGTGTGCACACCTCGTGCACCTTTCTGGGTCCGCGGTGGTAGTTGAATAGCTGGTTAGAGGCTAATTGAGCCAACTTTTCTGCAATCCCAGATCCCCCCCACGATGATAAAGAGAAATGAGGATGAAGACCATGACCAAATCTGAACGCGGGAACGTCGGTGCCGATCTTCGTGGCCGTCCATCTTGCTCACTCGATTCGTGGATCATCCTCGCGAACCGACGACGGCCGGCATGGACCATGACCAAGATCGGCGCCGGCGAGATCCCGCGACATTTTGGCCATGGCCAGCGAATTTCTTCCCTTGTTTGATTGTCCCACCATTTAGCATGGGGGGGACGGGTCCTGAGGGAAACGGGGCCTGGACCCTGGTGCCTTCCCCCAGGACGAGATCTTAATCCTGCGTCGTTTTCTGACAGTCCCAGGGCCTGGGAGGGGCCAGAGAGTCCGACGACGACGAAAAACCAAAGGACCAGTTTCCCTCAAAAACCGATTCCCTCATGGCGACTACTGCCGTCCGCCCGAGCGAAGGCGAGCGGGAGGCAGACTCGGGGATCTACTGACCAGGGTCATTGCAAACCAGGGTGAATCGGGCTCTGCAGGTTCCTACAAACTCCTTCGCAAAGCCAAGGTCAATGCACCCCTGGCTCCGAAAGATTCTGCAATTGGGGAAGGACCGACCGTCCCGGAATTCTTATAACTTATGGGCCTACCACGAAATATTCCTAGAACCCAAAAACGTCTAGAAACCAAAACCGTGTTATTGGAACGTAGACCCGATGTGCCAAGCTAACACAGTCTCAACAACAGAAATTCTGAGAACATCTTGCGCAGACCACGACAACTTCTCAGAACATCCTTTCGTGGGCCGGACGCCTCGCCACTGCTTGACTGCAAGACCCGGCATCTTGGCTGACCCTCTTTCGCATTGACCCCCGTCCGAAGGCTCCCGGACATCGTTTCCAGACATCCTCGAGCGTTTCGAAAAAACCGCGACGAAAAAAGTGTCATAATTTTCGGCCCCCCGAGGCCCTTACTGGGCCTCGAGGCTGTCAAAAGGCAGCCCTCGATGGTCGACAAAAGTCGGGACGGAAGCTTTTCATAGTTTTCGGCCCCTCGAGGCCCTTACTGGGCCTCGAGGCTGTCAAGATGCGTCTCCTGATGGTCGATCCTTCGCTCAGAATGACCTCCATCTGCACTGTCCCCCGTCGCAAGGCCCTCGAAAAGGAGGAGCCCACACGCCACCGGCCCTCCCCCTCCTTCTCCTCCTCCTCCTCCTCCCCCTCCTCCTCCTCCTCCTCCTCCTCCTCCTCCTCCTCCTCCTCCTCCCCGTCCTCCTCGACGGCGTGGCATGCGCACGAGTGCGCAGGAACGTATGCACCGTGTGCGTGAGCAGGGCCATTTCCCGCTCCAGCTGCGCACCCTGATTAAGTGCAATGTGCGTGGTCTCAAGCTTGATTTGAACGGATGTCTTGCGACTTGTTGGCCTGGCAGGTGCCAGGGTGGTCGTTTCCCGCGCTCTGTCGCGCCACGTGACGGGGATGAACTTTCGGGTCCTGGTGCCGCGATTTCTGCTCCTGCTCACACGTTGGCCATCCAAAGCCACGAGACCCATTCGTTACATCCGTTATGAACGGAGTTTTGTTTTGTAGGTCTTGCGGGGTTTCGCGGTGCAAAGTCTCCGAGGGCTCCGTGCTGAGTGTCACCAATCCGACCAAGACAGGTCGGGAGGTTTTGAGTCGAAAGCAGAGGGGACTCCCGCCAAAGTCGGGAGTGAAATTCTTTGAATGAAATTGCTGAAGCGGCCGAGCGAGCACTCGGGACCCGCGCTGAGGCCATAGCTCCATAGCTCCCCGTCCTCCTCGTCCTCCTCCTCTCCCACCCCTCCCCCTCGCCCTCCCCTTCCCTCTCCCCCCCCCTCCCCCTCCTCCTCCTCCTCCTCTTCCTCCTCCTCCTCCTCCTCCTCCTCCACCTCTTCCTCCTCCTCCTCCTCCTTTTCCTCTCCTCGTCCTGACCCCCGTTTGCATGGACTCTCGGTTTCACGGCTCCCGAGCAAGGGCGTGCGGCAAGCATACAGGGAGCGCGGCGCCGCCGGGGCCTGGCGGCCAGCACCTCCTCGCTCCCCTCCAGGCCCATCTGCTCTGCCTCGCGGGCTGGCGCCCAGGAAGATTTTCTGTTCGACGCGCGTGCGCTGAGCGGTCGTGGTGCCGCGCGGCGGCGCCCAACGCTTCGAAAGGCGGCGCCCGGATCAGGGGAGTGCACCTTATTTTGGGGGGGACCGCCACACACGACCCGCACAAGGGAGTGCAGGACTGCGCCTGTTACGGGCAGCTGCCTCCGAAGACCCAGCACCCGCGCGTTGTATCGAAACAGGGCTTGCTCGGAGAACAACGCTAAAACATCTACATCGCGCGAATGTCGGCGCAGACGCCGTTTAGTAAACGCGCTGAGGGAAGGAATCGAACAGGGCGGGGCCATTCATTTAACTCCCAGGGCCGTTTAATAAACGTCAATTGTCGGCCTCCGCCCCCTCCTCCTCCTCCTCCGCCTCCTCCTCCTCCTCCTCCGTTCCTCCCTTTTGGCACCTGACTCATCCGCTCCGCCGAGGTGCACGAGCCGACGCTGGACGACGGCGGTGCAGAGGGCGGCGCCCCGTCCACGGAGAGAGAGCTCTTGCCTCGCCCCACGGGCACAGCTCCAGCTGCTAGAGGAACAACAACAATACCATAACTAATAATAATAATCATCATCATCACCATCATCACCATCATCATCATCATCACCACCACCATCACCATCACCATCATCATCATCATCATCATCACCACCACCATCATCATCATCATCATCATCATCCTCATCCTCATCCTCCTCCTCCTCCTCCTCATCATCATCATCATCATCATCATCACCATCATGATAAGAACATCATCACCATCATCACCATCATCATCATCATCACCATCATCACATCATCATCGCCATCACCATCACCATCACCATTACCATCACCACCATCATCATCATCATCAGCATCATCGTCATCGTCATCGTCATCATCACCATCATCTTCAACTGCTAGACGAGGATGAAGATAAAAACGGTATGAACTGACACTTTCGGAGCTCCGCGCTGATTTCATGGATCGGTGCTGGGCCCCCCTCCCTGGCGCTCAGAGCTTGCCAGGAGAAGCGCCTGGGCCCAACGCCGCTCCAAGAACGCCGAGCGGACCTCCGGAAAATGTATGTCTACGTCAGGTTCGTGTCGTGACGACTGCAACTTTGGTTTCTGACACCGCGAAGATCTTTCAACCTTGAACGATCGGCCATTTCCGAAACGTCCAAATCGTTCAACATCGAACGATTCTGGGTCGCCCGCGTTGTTCAAAATTGAACGCCGCTGGCGGGGTTTCCGCTAATCGACACCACACGAACCTACCGTGTGCAACTTGCGCCACCCTTGAAGAAGCGTCGTCTCTGGCGACTCACGGCTGCCTCCCATGACATCTTCATGGATCTTGCGAGGCGGCGCTGACCAACGCCAATCGGCGCTCAATATGTGCGAATCGGCGCTGGCTCTGTGACTTCCCATCGATTGCCAATCGCTGGCGCCTGCTGGTGCTAACGCACCCGTGATGTGCTACCAAGCCGCGTCTCCGGGGAGGATCGCAAGCATCTGGTTCTGAGGTCCGGCCTTGGGCTCGCGCACCGCGGCGGGTACGAGAAAGGAGTGCTCGCTCCGTGGCCAGGCGCTTCGCGCGCGTGAGGTGCTTGTCTGTAGGAAGAATGGTAGGCGACACCAACACCACCAGGGCGAGGAGATGTGAGGAGTAAGGGGGGTCTCTCCCTGGTGGTCTGGTCCCCCCCTCTCGCTCGAGACATGCCCAGCCTCCAGCTCGGGGAGACATCGCCGACGTTCTGGCTGGAGGTGGCCCCACTGGTGGTGTTGGTGTCGCTTCTCCTCTCTCCGATGTCTGCGCGATCATCTCCTTTTTCTCCTTCTTTTTCTTCTTCGCTACAGTGCGGACGCGGCCGCAGGACACATATGCAACAGAACACCCAGCCCTGAGTGCTCGCGCACTGCGGGGGGAGGGGAAGCCCAAGGCCCCCCCAGCGCAACAGAGCTTCTTCCCTTCCGCGGGAGGCCGCCGCGCAGCGCGCGCAGGGAAGAAGCCCGAGGCAACCCGACGAAACGCATATGGCTCATTGATGCGCGTGCCCACTGTACGTTCTACGTTCCAGATGCCAGTCTGTTCAGTCTGGCCACCAAGGGAGAGGGCCTCACCCACCATCCCCACCTTGACAAGGGAAAGACTTGATGGGCCTGTTTTCCACCACCACCACCATGAGGATGAGGATGAGGATGAGGAGGAGGAGGAGGAGGAGGAGGAGGAGGAGGAGGAGGAGGACGAGGAGGTGGAGGTAGAGGAGGAGGAGGAGGACTCCCTCCCCCTCCAACTTATGGTGGTGGTGGTGGTGGAAAACGGGCCCATCAAGACTGGCTCGGAGGGGCACGCAATGTCCTGACATCGACGATGCGTCGCCGATGGATCGGCGTTAGGCCCCCAGCGGGGACGCCCACCGCCCCTCGGGCAGGGTGGGGGCTCCTCCCAATCCCCTTCCCCGAGCCAGCCCCAATTGTTAGGGCGCGGAGGATGTCATGGTAAGATTGGCTCTTCCAGGGCATCCAGCGGCGCAGCCAGTGCGGAAAAACGGGGAACCCTCCCGAGCGTTTCCGAGTGTCCCGCCTCGCGCCACTCTGCATACTGCGGCCGCCAGATCCCCAGGTCGCCCGAATGTCCCCGAATGTCCCGCCTCGCGCCGACCCGCCCACTCAGCACACCGCGGCCGCCAGATACCCAGGTCCCCCGAGTATCCCCGAGTGCCCCGCCTCGCGCCACGCGGCAGCCAGATCCCAAGGACCCCGGAGTCCCTGGGTGTCCCGCCTGGCGCCGACGAATCATAACATGACAGGGCGGCATTACAATGTAGCAGAGCACAATACAGCACAACACAATAAGCTATGACAGACAAAGTATACCACCACACCATCTGACAGAACATATCCGAGCGAAGCATACCATATCATGACATAAGGTAACCAGATACCCCCCAAAAGAATCCCCGAGGAGAGTCCTGGCGAGTTGCATGCACCAATGTGCGGACGCACTGTAAAAGACTGTACGGTGGACGTGGATCAGCAGCAGCAGCAGCAGCAGCAGTCGTCGTCGTCGTCGTCGTCGTCGTCGTCGTCGTCGTCGTCGTAGTAGTAGTAGTAGTAGTAGTAGTAGTAGTAGTAGTAGTAGTAGTAGTAGTAGTAGTGGTAGCAGCAGCAGCAGCAGCAGCAGCAGCAGTAGTAGTAGTAGTAGTAGTAGTAGTAGTAGTAGTAGTAGTAGAAGTAGAAGTAGAAGTAGAAGTAGAAGTAGTATTAGTAGTAGTAGTAGTAGTAGTAGTCGTAGTAGTAGTCGTAGTAGTAGTAGTCGTAGTAGTAGTAGTAGTAGTAATAATAATAATCGTAGTAGTAGTAGTAGTAGTAGTAGTAGTAGTAGCAGTAGTAATAATAAGAGTAGTAGTAGTAGTGGTAGTAGTAGTAGTAGTAGTAGTAATCGTGGTATTCGTGGCATTATTATTATTAGTAGTAGTAGAACAAGTAACAATAGCAATGATAATAGAGTCGTGGTCGTCGTCGTTAAAAGTAGTAGTCGCAATAGCCGTAGTACTATTAATAGTAGTAGTAGTAGTAGTAGTAGTAGTAGTAGTAGTAGCAGTAGCAGTAGCAGTAGTAGTAGTAGTAGTAGTAGTAGTAGAAATAATAATAGGTAGCGCCCTGGGCGTCCAGGTCCCTAGTAGTGAACCGTTATTCTGATGCTGTTTCGCTGTCCTTTGCGTGATTATGTGTTTTCTGGAAGCTTATGCGGCCCGTGTTGGGCCCCAAGATGAAATTTTACTTCAAAGGTTTCGAATTCGCTTTTTGGGCTTACTTGGCCCCCATTCGTTAAATCGGACATGATGGAACCGAACGTCCTGTGCGTCCGGGCACCCCGATGTCGAAGGTGAAAGATGATGAGGAGTTGGAGCAGGATGATGATGATGATGATGATGGGGACGATGATGTTGTTGTAGTGATGATGATGATGATTGTCATGATGATTGTTGGGATGATGCCCATGAAAATGACAGTGAACACGATGATGACCATGCTGACGATGATGACCAGGAGGAGGTGGTGACGATGCTGCTGATGACTTTTGGAGCTCTCTAGGGAGTGCTCTTGGAGCCTTCCTACAGTTTCTTGGGGGGCTCTTGGGCCGTCTGGAAGCCAACTGGCAGGGGATTCCTAAGAATTCGTAGGGATCGCTCGGTTTGCGCAAAGAGTCTTCAAGGATTCTCTAGGGAGTCCTAGGGATTCCCAGCGATTCCTGAGGATTCCTAAGCATTCCTAGGGATTCCTGAGGATTCCTAAGGATCACCAGGGATTCCTAAGGATTCCTGAAGATTCCTAGAGGTTCTTCAGGATTCGCTAGGGTTTCCTAAGGATCCTTAGGGATTCCTGCGGATTCCTATGGATTCCTAAGCATTCCTCAGGATTCCCAAGGGTTCATAGGTAGTGAAAACCTTAGGAATCCTTGCAGATCGGAAAGATTCGCTGGGTTTCCGAAGCATGTCGCTAGGGACCCTGACGCCCAGGGCGTTCGGTTTGCGCAAGGAGTCGCTAGGGATTCCTAAGGATTCCTAGCGACTCCTTACGGAATTCTTAAGGATTCCGAAGGAAATCCTTAGGAATCCTTGCGAACCCGAAGGATTCCTAAGAATTCCTAAGGATTTCACTAGGGATCCGGACGCCCAGGGCGTTCAGTTTGCACAAGGAGTCTTGAAGGATTCGCGAGAGATTCGCATGGTTTCTTAGGGATTCCACAGGATTCCTGCGGATTCCTCGCAGGATTCCTAGGGATTCCTTTAGGATTCGCTAGGGATTCCTTGGGATTCCTACGGGTTCCTGAGGATTCCTAGGGGTTCCTAAGGATTCCTCAGGATGCCCAGGGATTCCTAAGGAATTCGCAAGGATTCCTAAGGATTCCTAGGTAGTGAAATCCTTGGGAATCCTTGCAAATCGTGAGGATCTCGCTGGGCTTTCGAAGGATTCCT